GGGTGAAGATCATCCGGGCCGGCTGACTTAAAAATGTCCAGCCCCTCCAGAAGCTCCCTAACTAAATCCTCACTCACTCTAGGCCCAGGTGAGCCTCCCCCGGGGAGTGCATCACACCCCCCACCCCCTCCAGCTAGGCAAGCTGCAGCCGGGCATAGCTCCTGCTCCCACATCCCGTGCCCCCCTGCCTCAGCTGGACAAGCAGTGGGGGGGCACAGCCCCCACTCCCAGCATCTTTCACTGCCCACCTCCACTCCTCCTCAAAGTGCAGTCTTTTGCTCCCTTTCCGTTTAACAAGGCAGCAGCAAAAGATTATTCACAGGTTTTTTACTTCTGATTGGACATGCTTAAGGCTCCTACCATAGAGGTCTTAGCTCTCTCCAGAAACCCATTCCTGCCTCCAATAAACTAGACAAGATAACGTGTCAGCAGAACCCACTTACCACTTCCTCTGGAGAGCAGGCGAACAGTGTCAGCCTGGTACAGATAGAGGGTAGGGCTGTGAGAAACTTCAGTAGCTGATTTGAGTCAGAGGAGATTCAGCCCAATTTGGCGGCTAAATCTCCAGATCAACTCAGGAGACCCATTAAAGGTCTGAATCGAATTGGATACCTCTGAATCGATTCGGAAAAGATTCGGCACCCATTCAGAGATTTGGCCATAGACTAAACAGGCAGCAGTCCTCAACCACACTGGACATAGCTGCCTCCAGTTGGTAAGTCTGTTGTGGTGGGCAGTGGGGAGAGAAGGGGTGTGGGGTGTGCAGATCAACATCCCCACAGTGAGGGACAGATTAAGGCTGGGGCTGGAACAAGCTGCCCAGCCGGGGCGGTGGTGGGGGGCAGTGCAGGACTCAGAGAGGGGGGCTCCCTCCATTGTGCACCAGTTGGGGAGGGCATGGGAGCAGGCCTGTCCCCTGGATCTGCCTGAGGTAGGCTGGGCCAGGCTGCACTCTGGGAGTGAGCTGCACCTGCATCACACCCCCCACCCCCTCCAGCTAGGCAAGCTGCAGCCGGGCATAGCTCCTGCTCCCACATCCCGTGCCCCCCTGCCTCAGCTGGACAAGCAGTGGGGGGCACAGCCCCCACTCCCAGCATCTTTCACTGCCCACCCAAAGTATACACTGGCCCAGCCTGCCCCATGCAGATCCGGGGGCACATGCCCGCTCCCATGCCTTCCCAGACTGATGGCACACAGCAGCACAGTGGCAGAAGCCCCCCTCCCTGAGTCACATGCTGCCCCACCCTGGCTAGGCAGCTTGTCCCAGCCCCAATCCATCCTTCTCTGTGTGGGCACTGATCTGCCCCACCCTACCCCCATGTCCCTTCCCTCCCTGCTCCACCCACCGCAACAGACTTACCAGCTAGTGGCAGCTGTGTCCAGCATGGTCAAGGACTGATGCCTATGTAGTCTATGGCTGAATCTCTGAATTGGCGCCAAATCTTTAAATCCGATTCGGCCGAATTGAATCAGGACAGTAACCCAAGTCACCGAATCAAATCACTATCCCTCCAAATCTGCTGAATCCGAATTGAATACTTGCCGCTTCGTACACACCTAATAGAGGCCACAGAGTATGCAAGGGGTCTAATGGCCTTCCTGAAGTTATTTTTTTTTTAATACTTCTAAAAGGGTCATTTGAACATATTTGATAAGGGGAAAAGGAGCTTTTGTCTTTATATCTGATTCTTTTGTTGTTATTTACTTTACTTTCTCACTTTGCCAATCTCTCTTGTACTACATAGTCAGAAAGTTGCCAGACAAACTTTCCTATCAAGAAAATTAACCTCAGCTCCTAAATGCATTTATTCCACAACTGTTTGGAAATACAAACCAGAGAAGCAAATTCAAAGCGTCACAATTAGAATGTATTTTACAGAAGTCAAACTCTACAGAGCAAGAGAGAGCAAAAGAAGAATTAAAAAGGGAGGCAAAAATGCTTGGTATGCATCCAAGGGTCTGCTCCTGTCGCAAATTCAAGTGATAATGTTAATGGAATTTTACACTGGGGCTAGGAAATGGTCTGCTGATGAAAAATAAATGCCAAGACCTTTAACATAAACAAATGTCGGCATGAAACGGAGGATATTTATTTTGAGAGTGGCAAGCCTGACTCCGGTGACAACATTTAATTCCATTTACATGGTGACTATTGTGCCAAATAATCCCATTAAAAAATAAATAGGAGTAACTGGGCAGACTTGCACTGGGGTGAGAGAGGTGATCTGGCAAACATGTGGTAGGAAGCCACATGAGACAGAGAAAATTTTAAAAAGTGACATATTAAATATTAAATTCTTCTTAACATACTTGAACACTAATTTTGTGCTTCTACTTTGCTGACACTCCAATTTTACGTCCAGTCCTGTCACTTTACCTTACATATTGGTTTGTAGTTTATTTACAGTGAACTTTAACATATTATTCAACATCATTATCATACTCAAACCAACGTTTTTCCTAATAAAAAAGAGGCTTGCCTCATCTTAGCAGCACATAGTACCAATCATCAGACAAGACA